TAACAAGTCCCTTGTTTAGGATTTGGGGTCGGTCTTGTTCACAAAATATTGGGGGAGGGGGAAAAATCAATACAGCATAGTGTCACAATATTTTTGTGTGACAATATCGAATCAATTTGTTTTATCATATAAACTATTATTATTACAAATACAAATGAAACATTTGGTAGCCTACTAAAATAATATAATCCGTTGCTTTTTCGGTTTACTACATACGTATTTGCTGCAGTAAAAATGAAGTGAAATGAACAGACATTATTTTATTCGATAAAAACTGTTGATGTTGACGTTCACTTTAGCGACATAATTTGCAAATCGCAATAATAGTGTAGAGTATCGTATAGTGGATCCTCTGGTGATTCCCACCTCTAATAATTAGAAATATTACGTTATATGTTAAATGACTAATCGACTATTGAAGTAATCAATGACTATTTTAGTAGTCGTCTGACCAGTTTGAGTCATTTTTCATAGAAAAGTACTATAAAAATACCCCAAAATACTCTTATTGCAGCTTCTTACGTTCAAATATTGGCAGCTTTACACACTCTCCCGTGACGGTTAACTAAAACCCTTTGGCGTGAGTACGACACAAGACATTAGATGACATCATTTTGGGGTTTGGGAGAGACAGAGCGACATTTTCAACATTTTAACACATTTTTTGGTAAAATGATTTGTCGACTAATCGAAGAAATAGTCGACAATGAAAATAATTGTTAGTTGCAGCACTAATGTTAAAATGTTATGGTGTCTTATTTTTGCATTATGGTCTGGACGACATTCGTAGCCTTAATAGACCCAGAAGAAAAAAAGTTTGGATGTTATACCGTGGAATAAGGCGGGCTGGGAATCACCTGAGGCTCCACGATGCGATGTTATCGCGATACTTCAGTCATGATACGATATTACTGCGATTTTAAACGTGCGTTGTTATAGTATTAACAATGGTAAATATTTATATTTAGTAGGGATGCACGGTAATATTCGCACGTCATCGACACTGGCCGATATTGGCTTTGTTATCATATTTTAGTGTAGTGAATAAATACCTGATATCAGTGACTCTTCTACTTTCCCTGTTTATCTGAACTCGTCCTGTCCCGTCCCTCTGAGGATCAATAAAGCTTTATCTTATCTGAAAGCTAATTATCTACCACAGCAGCCCACAATAATGCCAGGATTGTTGCCGTCAACTTCTCAGGGTCCTGTGACATCAGTGCAGTGACTCACCATATACGATATTTGTCAGGAAAATGTTAAAAGCTAAGCAGACGTTAATGTCACGTCTCATCAGTGTGATGATCAGTCAGTGGTGATGGCAGACTCTGATCAGCAGACGCCATGTTGACTGTCACTTCCAGACTGACACAGATCCTGTGTTTGTAGTGTCGCATGGTAACATCACCACTTCCCACTCGCAACACGTAAACATATTGTGACAGCTTGTGTCGACTGGGCAGGAGAAACGCTGGGGAATTTATGATTTGATCACAATCTCACAGGAATGGCTGCAACAGATGATTATGTACGTTATCATTTAAGATAATGCTGTTATTGCTTATCAAAGTTTAAGCTACCTTACCCTCAGAGGGAGGCCTGAACTCTTCCTGGAGTCCACACACAACAAGACAAACATAAACTAAGACATTTACACAAATAAAAGTCTCATTAAGAATGTGTTTAAGTAATAAAGTACTAAATCAGATTGAACACCGCTTTCATCCTGACTCTTTCCTCTGGCTTTATCAGTATTGTTGTGGCCGTAATGTTTCCATGTGTGTGTAGCAGAGATGTGCTGATGAGTCGGCAGCTTCAGACTCTAACTCGAGTCCACATCAGCCACACATTAGGATTTATGTTGTCCCTCTGCTGTTGCAGGAGAAAGGAATCCCTTTGATGGGAGAATCCTCTTTCCTGGCCTCCTGGGTCAATCGCCGTGCCACAATGATGGGTATGTATGTGTGTGTGTTTAAGATACTGTTACTGTTTGGCTGCCGGCCCTCAGTGAATAATGCTCCTCTTGTGTTATGTCCTTTAATGTAAGTGGCATGTAACGTGTCACTGCTGCAGGTCTGGAAAGATAAAGTAATTTAAAACATTTTTTAAGTCTTGAGATGTTAAAGGTTTGCGAGAGTGCTGCAGATAAGAAGGTGTTTTTGTCTGTGTTAGGTTGAAGCACGAGATGCTCTGTTCATTCAACTTTTATCGACATAGTCTGTGAAATGAACCCGCCTCTTGTCATCCCTCAGATGAGCAGGAGGCGCTGAACTCGATCATGCAGGACTTGGCCGAACTGCACCGCTCCAGCCGTCCTGCCATGTTCCTGTCGGACCTGACCAAAGCCTCCTCACCCAAGAACCAGGTAACCGTTCACATTTAAACCGCTACCAGTTCTGGTGCCTCAAATTTGGTGCTTTACTCTTTCAGTAATAACAAAAATGTCATTTTGAACAAGCTGCAGGCGTGATGTAGTCGACTGAAGGCCCAGACACACCAAACTGACATCCGAGAACTAGTGGTGATGAGAGCCCAACGCTGTGTTGCCTCTCGTTGCCTTGTTTCAGCCAGAAAGTTGCAGTTAGCCAGTTATTACATTAGCAACACAGTCCAGTGTTGAAAGAGCAGGACAGATTTACCGTGCGCCAGTGAACTGTAACTCGAACCATCAGGACACGTTTCTGCTGAAGAGCTCGTTGGCTAAAGAAAGATAATCTAACCTCAGAGTGATTTCAATTGCTTTGGCGTCACTGATCCAACATGCTGAATCAGCGAAAAGAAGGCCAACTCGTGCAGACAAGGGTCAGTGGTGCGGGACACACCGCACCGACGAGGCAGACGCTCACCAGTTGCCCAGCTTTGACCTTCGGCTTGGTGTGTCGCGGCCTTAAAACACAATTCTGTTTGTCTGCTGTTTTCTAATCGCACATCGAGCTAATTTCTCTACAAGAAAGAAAAACTCACATTTCTACTTATTTGCCGCATCAAAAGCCTACCGTAACGTGAATTTTGTGAACCATTACATCCCTAGTTATTACTCTGATAATACAGAAAAGAAAAATGACCAGACGCTCAAACTGTCGCATCTGATCGGTGCTGCTGAAGCTGACAGAGCGGCTGTGGAGCTCTGTAGTCGGCCTCCCAGCATTTAGTTGCTTCTGCTTCCTGTCTGAAGTTGAACCCTGGCCTTAGACGTCCATGGCTGGTTTCCAAGCTTCAGGGTGCTGAGCAGCACTTCGACCTCTTGTCTAAACCCAGCGTTCTCACTTTGATGCACCAGGCACAGATGGATTGAAAGGCCCTGACACACCAAGCCGACGGTTGGCTGTCGACCAAAGTCGGGCCGTCGGTGAGCGTCTGTTGGCCTAGTTTTTGCGGTGTGTCCCGCACCGTTGGCACTAGTCGGACCTCTATCGGCGGCTTTTCGGCCGATTGAGCATGTTGAATCGGCAGCGGAGCTTGTCGATGAGAGAGATCACTCTGATTGGCTGTTCAGGTTTTATTTCCTCGCCCCTGTAGCGAGTGAATCTGCCTGTAGTGAAACCGGGGCTAACCGGTGCTTCCTCCTCAGGCTCCACTTCACTCAGCTGCCCCACAGACCCGCTGCTTCTTCACACTTTAACCTGAATAACAAACTGGAGCTAGCTGGGAGGCTAGCGGAGCATTAGCCGCAGCATGACCGGAGGGAAGCACAGCCAGTTAGCCTCCGCTAGTCTCTGAGCTAGCCCCGGCTCTCCGTTTGGATCCAACCGGAGCACCGAGCCCTGGTTTGTTATTCAGGTTAAAGTGGGAAGAAGCAGCGGGTTTATCGGGCAGCTGAGTGAAGTGGAGCCTGTGGAGGAAACACCGGGACCGTCTGGATGTAATAGTCCGTGGAGGTGCTGCGGTGCTCAGCTGCACAGATAGGAAACCCCTCGGCTGACAGGATGTACCACTCTCTCACTCCGCTCTCTCTCACGCAGGCGCAGAACGTACGTGCTACTTGGCCGTCGGATGTAGTCCGTGTAGTGTGTTCAAATGCAACTGACACAGGGCGACGTGAGGCGACGTAGACGACGAACAGTTGGCTTTTGTCGCTGCTAGTTCTTTGATGTCAGTTTGGTGTGTCAGCACCTTAATATGAATAGGTACTCCTTTGGTTTCCCTTAAGAGTCCCGGGTTCAGTTCCCACCCCAGACTATGTTTTGTCTTTTAGGCCTTCTTCTAGAACAATGATAATTGATCGTATAGAAGATCTGAGGGCTGAAACGTCATCTGATTAAAGGAGAAATGTACATGGAGCCGGAGTGCGTGACACTGGTTTCCCACTTTGAGTCTAGTGCCAGTAATCAGCACCGCACTGAAACACTTGGTGTGTGATACTTGTCTAAATAAGGCAAGAATGTCACACACAGTGCCAGTGAAGGAAACATTAGGAAACAAAAAGCCTCTGATGTGATTTTAACGTGACTCTCTCTCCAACAGAACGACGTCAGAGTCAAGTTCGAGTTCAAAGGGGAGAAGAGGTGAGGCTTCACCAGGTTCACCATTTTCATGAGCCTACATGTCCGTACGGGTTACAAACAGGTTCTGAGGGCACTGTACAGAAAGAGTTAGGTGGAAACGCAGCTATGTTGTCCTCTGACCTCTCCTCTTCTCTGCAGGATCTTGCAGTTCCCTCGACCCGTCAAGCTGGACGACCTGAAGGCGAAAGCTAAGGTGGCTTTCGGTCAGACGATGGACCTTCACTACACCAACAACGAGGTGTGAAGCCTTCTCAGGCCTGCATGTTTTTGATAATGACGCTGAATCTATCGACACTAAAGCTGTTTCTTGTTCTTGTTGTTGCAGTTGGTGATTCCACTGACGACTCAGGACGACCTGGACAAGGCCGTGGAGCTGCTGGATCGCAGCGTTCACATGAAGAGCCTGAAGATCCTCCTGGTGCTCCAGAGCTCCTCTCAGGTGAGCAGTAGAGAAATGTCGACCAGTTTTTTAATCTTCAGTAGTGACCATAAATCACAGCCTGTTCTCTCTCTGTCTGCCCAGAACTCTTCCTCCAACATGGACCTGCTGCCGTCCCACGAGGAGCTGGACAACACGGGATTCAGGGTCGCTGACAAGAAGAGTATGCTGGCTTTGATAGGTGAGTGTCATCTTGTAGAGACGCACAGACATGACAGGACCTCAGAAATTTGGACGTCATAATGCTCCCAAAATAAACCGACCTTTCTTCAACCGACCTCAGGCTCCCATTCGACGGACCGCAGCTCCCCTCCTCCAGGATACATTCCTGACGCGCTCCAGCAGGTGGCGAGGAACGGCTCCTTCACCAGCATCAACAGCGAGGGGGAGTTCATCCCTGAGAGCATGGACCAGGTACGACCAGTGTTGACCTTGTGTTGTGTGGTTCTGTACATACTACCCCCAGTGTTTGGGTACATGGGCGTGTTTAAGCAGTCGGCAGGCTTGTAAGAGTTTGTGTCTTTTTTTCAGATGCTGGACCCGCTGTCCATGAGCAGTCCAGAAAACTCTGCATCCGGAAGTTGTCCTTCTTTAGACAGCCCACTGGACAGGTCAGGACGCTGGATATTTTATTCATACAACAGTTTACTGAGTGGAGGTCAGAGACTCAGCCTGAAGAACAAACTGCACTCTGTAGTAATATCCTGTCTTGGTTTTGTTTTTTGTTTGTTTTGCAGTGACTACCCAAAATCCAGGATGCCCCGAGCACAGAGCTACCCCGACAACCACCAGGACTTTCCAGGTACACAAATCAGTTTCACTGTAACTCGCAGCATTCACAGACAAACACTTGTCTTTATCTGGACACATTTTCCTCACAAATACAACATGCTAACGTTATTAGCACAAGCCTATGTCATTTTACATTGTATAAATTAGCCTAGCGGCTAGCAGACTTTTCTTCTGCTCATATGAAGCAGGATAAATCACACACTGGACTTAAAATGCTATTTTTGTGGAGGCTTTACTGTCTTTCACAATTTATTGTGTCTTATCTGTGAAATTAAAGTCGCTGCAGCATCATTATCCTCCTCTTCCTCCCCAGAGTACGACATCCCAGTGTTTGAGAAGTCGGGCAAAGGTGGAACGTACCCTCGACGATACGGCATTCCCTTCGGCCTTCAGGATTACAGCGACGGTGGGTCATTTTCTCCTCATGACTCCTGACATGTGAACATCAGCGTCACTTTGCACTACAACGTCCTCTTCCTCTGCTCCACAGGGAGGAAGACCTTCCCTCGGGCCCGGCGAACACAGGTCCACGGCTTCCGCTCGCCGGTCAGCTTCAGCCCGACGGAGCAGTCGCCCAGCACCAGCAGCGGCAGCAGCGTCTTCACCCCGGACCTGGAGGAGGCCCCAGGCCCCGCCAGGAGGCCACGGAGGGGCAGTGACATTGAACCCAACCCCAACCCGACCACGGCGCCGACGCTGTCTGTGATGGACATCAGCCCGCCTAGCCGCTGTGAGCTGCACGTTGATTTCATCTGTCTGTACAGCAGCTGTTTTTTTTTTTTCTCCGCAGCGGTTTGATTGTATCTGATGTGTTTGTGTGCAGCCCCACGCGCCCCGACAAACTGGCGGCTGGGGAAGCTCCTGGGTCAGGGCGCCTTCGGACGGGTGTTTCTCTGTTATGATGCCGATACTGGGCGGGAACTGGCGGTCAAACAGGTCCAGTTTGACCCGGAAAGTCCAGAGACCAGCAAGGTGAGAAGAGTCTGATGTTTGTTGTCAGACAGTGTGCACGTTGAAAAACAGTCGAGCAGGAAACGATAAAAGTTTGTGATGTTTTTCGGTCGTTCAGGAGGTGAGCGCGTTGGAGTGTGAAATCCAGCTCCTGAAGAATCTGTGCAACGAGCGGATCGTCCAGTACTACGGCTGTCTGAGAGACACCATGGAGCGGACGCTCTCCATCTTCATGGAGTACATGCCCGGGGTGAGTGCTACTTTAAAGCTGGAGCCTACGCATTTGTAGATGCCGATGTACCAGTAGGAACCCCCTCTCTCTGAACTGACCTGTGATTGGACAAAATCTGACACTTGTCTGTCACTCTGCGTCCCTCAGGGCTCCATTAAGGACCAGCTGAAGTCGTACGGAGCGCTGACGGAAAACGTGACGCGCCGCTACACCCGGCAGATCCTGGAGGGAGTTTCCTACCTGCACAGCAACATGATCGTCCACAGAGACATCAAAGGTGAGGAGGACGACTTACTGTATTCAGAATTCTCACACTTACAACAACCAACACAAATCAAGTCATGGTCAGGAATACGAAGGTGTAAAGCTACGACGAGAGGAAGATGCAGCCGGGTGACTCTGTCTCGTTTGTGCTCAGGGGCCAACATCCTTCGTGACTCGGTGGGTAACGTGAAGCTGGGAGACTTCGGGGCCAGCCGGCGGCTTCAGACCATCTGTCTGTCAGGAACAGGCATCATGTCTGTGACCGGCACGCCGTACTGGATGAGCCCAGAAGTGATCAGTGGAGAGGGCTACGGCAGGAAGGCCGACATCTGGTGAGAACACACACGAGTCCTGGCCTTTCTTTAGAATATAAGTCTGTAAATATAAGGTCTTTTAAGTCTTTAAATTGTCGTTAACTGTCTGATACCTGGAGACACGCTGTCCCAAAACTGTCCTGGTCAAGTTAGTGAGTAAATGACAGACTTCACATAAGAATGAAGGAACTATTTGACAAAAGCACATCTCGTCTCTCTGATTTGTGTTATTCCGCCCTCAGGAGTGTCGGCTGCACCGTAGTGGAGATGCTGACGCAGCGACCCCCGTGGGCGGAGTTCGAGGCCATGGCAGCCATCTTTAAGATCGCCACCCAGCCCACCAACCCCGTGCTGCCCGCCCACGTGTCGGACCACTGCCGAGAGTTCCTCAAACGGATCTTTGTAGAGACGAAGCAGCGGCCGTCTGCCGATGAGCTACTGAGGCACATCTTTGTACATTAACCCCTGAACCTTTAACCCCCTCCACCCCCCCGCCTGCCTGCCGAACTGCCAGATACGGCCTTACCTGACGGGGCGTCCTTGTCTCTGACCCCGCCCCCTCCACCTCCACGCTGAAACCATACTGGACCAGGAGGAAGAGGCTGGAAGAAGGTGGGGTGTGGCGGCGGGGAGGAGGGGGCGTGTACCTGCTCCTCCTGTCTCTGTTTGTATGAGACTGCCATAGAGGACATGGGTTTTTATTTTGTTTTTCTCCGCAAGTTGCACCTTAATTTGTCGAACCCGCCGGGGTGGAGCACTTCCTCCTGACTCTTTGGAACCTTTTTCATGTTTGTACGGTTTCTCTCTTCAAACGTTTTGGAGTGGGATAGCGTCGGTGTTGTGGACCTACAGGAGGTGATGCCTGGCTCTCGAGTGGCCCCGCCCCCCCATCTCGCTGACCCGACCCCAGAATGTAGTCTCCTGCCAAAACCCAGAGCGATGGTGATGACCTGGGCCCGCTGCTATAGACGAAACTAAACCCCCCTCGACGCAGAGAACACTCCCCGAAAACAGTTTCCGCTCACCTGCCTTCATCCCTCGTCCTCTTCCTCTCTGATGTTTTGTCTCTCTGCTTCACTGTCTGTAATCTACCTTCCCTCCTCTTCATCTTCGTTCTTCGCCTTGTGCCTTTTCTGTTTTTTAAACGCAGTGTAGGAGTGACGTCATGGATAACCTCCGTCGTTCTCAAAGGTTTCTCAGTGTTGTTTTGCCTCCCGGATAAACTGCCTTCGCACCGTTAGCCCAAATCCAGCTGATCTCACTTCAGCTGTAACGTCCGTTTCTGCCTTTTCTGTAACGGGGACTCGTGGTGTCGATCAGGGAGCGCCCTGATCCCACCTGCTCTACCTGCCTGCTCCGGCTGGTAACCAAATATCCTTCAGACTCTGTTTGTAAAACTTGCCGTGCTGGATTAATAATGAAACGTTGCTGGTGAATTCTGGGACGTACCAGCGAACTGGTACTCGGACAAGGATCGGTACTCCTGCTTTTTCTCTTCAAACGCCCCCGTCTCTCCTCGGCTTCGATAAGTATTCACTCATCGGCTGGGTCGAGCTGTTGTCATGGCAGATCAGAGGTGGATGAGCTGTTGGTATATTAACTGCTACATGAACTCGCTGGCATTTATTAACCTAAATAAAATACAGGCTAGATTAGATCTAAAACTATAAGTAGGTCAGTTGATTGTACGGCTGAGTATCGTTTAAAAAGTTATGATACCAGCGCCCTTAAAGTGAAAGGAATACCTCACTCGATGCAAAGTGGTGTGAAGTATGGCCATAAACATTTCCCTGGCATCTCGGCACACTGAACTGCAGACTCTGTCAGAACAACACAGATTGTATGGGAGTGTGAGCGCCGCACCAGGGACACTTGTGAGAATCCGCCCTTATGCACACAGTGACAGGATATCAGAGAATTCATGGCGACGAAGGCTGACCGTCACGTTGCCTGTGTCTGTGTCTCTCACAGCACAAAGACCACAGCCGACCGCCAACAACTACGTACGTTTGGCATCTGCGTGAGAGGAAATAATTCTCCACAGCAGCAGGTGGCGGTCGTCTGTATTCATCTTTCAAAAGGGGAAACCGGAAGACTGATAGGACAGATTGCGCCTTAGGTTTGAGACGCAGCTACAGTCTGTGTTCGGCAGCCTTTAGTGTTGATAGACTCATGACGTGTAACCAATGAGATAACCAGTAGTAGATAGTTGATTTATTTTATAAGCTATCGGATTATGAACAAAGGATTCGGATGATCATGAAAATGTTGAATATCGTGGCCGATCATCGGCTTGGTGTGTCAAGGCTCTTAGTATCACATGGCTAACATTATCTGACGACTTTCGGTGCTGGTCTGTGTTTATTTAGACTGTTTAATAGTTCGGTGTTGGATGTTAGCCGCTGCTACTGTGTTAGCTCGTTAGCAAAGTGGGAGGACAATGCCTCCAGAGATGGCAGCAACAGAAAGTTCGCTGATCATGAGGGGCATCGGGATGATCCGGGAATCCAGGTATCATTTTAGCGGAGACGTTCGGATAAAGACTGGGTATATGGGTCGATACGTTAAAGGTTTGGAGCACTGATACGGAGCCTCCGTCTCTGACTGTTTTATTTTATTAATCCAGAAAATGATCAATGAAAGCGATCGATAGTTGCAGCCCTGATATCAGCGATATGATTATTCCAGTCAGGAAATATCTTCTCAAGGAAAGAGGCTAAGAATCTGACTGCCCTGGAGGTTTTGTAGGTCTGCCATGACATCACTCTTTCCCTCGGAGCAGGAGGGAGGCGCCATTGCAAGGCGAGAAGCTCACAGCTGATTGGCCAGAGGTTCTGGCTGCATGACGCTGTTGTCGGTTGTATTTCAGACTAGCGGGTGGATTGATGCACCCGGACATTTCTATCTGCTCGTCATTTCACCCACAGGTACATTTACAGGTAACTTCATTTCCTCTGCTGCAGTCGGTACCTGTGTTCCTTCAGCCAAGGCTTCACTGTGCCATATCCCAGTGCTCTTGTTGTTGTTTGTTGTTGTTTATTTACATGCACTCCGACAGATTTGACTCACACTCGAAGACGTTTACAGTATCTCACAGCTTTTGTTCCTTCACAGCGATCGGCGCAGCCAAATCAGATATTAACTCGTCACTTTAGCCAAACCACAAACACTCCGTTCAACATGTGTCGCTCTGCGTTTCCTCCCCGGGGCCGAGCTTCCATTGTGACGTCTGTCTGTTGAGTACGACTCGCTGTTCATAGCACTGGCTCCATAACTATGCACCAGTAAGATGTTCGTCGGCTTCTGCAACCAGCGACTCCTCGGCTGATGTTAGAGCAGCGACACGCACTGATGACTCTGATTAACCTGTTCGATACTCGTCAACATGATCAATCACAGATCAAACAGACGTCAAGACTTTAACAGACGGTACCGAACACTTTGCTGTCGGATGTACGAAGCTAAAATCTGACAGGAAGTTGTGTTTCTGCTTTTTAAAGGTGCAGTCAGTAAAGTTTTAACGGCACAATTTAATCCGTAATATCAGTTGCTTTGTTATGAGTCGCTCTGAACTGTTGTCTCAGCTGGCGTCACCTCACGTGATTCGATCACTGCTCGATATCATGGATGTTCCTTGCGACTAATTTCTCTGCCGTTTTAAAAAGAAGTTTAAATTTAGACTAGTAGGACAGATATGGCTTGAAGGGAGAGTAAAGCGGGATTTATACTTGTTTGTCTGCTCTCTGCATTCGTCCTAAGGTCAACTGATGTGCACTTTGGTTCAAATAGAGCACTTTTTTAAAAATGGAAATTCCTGTCTCTTTTTGTAGTTCCCTGCAGCGGCCACCAGATGGTAGTAAAGAACCATATTTTACTGATTGCACCTTTTTTAAAGCACTCATCAGGTCTTTACTGATTCATGAAGGTCGGTTTGATCGTGATTTAATGTCTCACAGAACTCGTGATTTCCTCTCAAGGTACTCGTTAGATTTATTGTAAAGATTCGTCATGTCGTGCGTCAGCGATCAGCCGATGGATCCTCGCAGGATGTGGAAACTGACACAAACTCCTCCACTTGATTTATGCATTCTCAGAACGGTACGCATCCACACGAAGCTGCAGAAAAGACGACATTTTAGATTTTTTGCAAACATTAGTGGTTGTATTGAGTTCGAGGCGGCCGGCAGCAAACTGTCGCAAACGCCGCCAGCACTGGTTAAACCTTGATACGCACTACCATTATGCACTATCTTTGATTCACTGATGCTTTCCCACGACTCCTCGCCGGATGCCGCGCGGCGCAGCTCCGTTCAGCGACCTTTTCTTTGCACATTTTAAAGACGATTTTTTTATTTTTACACAAGTGTGACTGTGAGCGTGTGTGTGTGTGTGTGTGTGTGTGTGTGTGGAAGCAAAGACTCAACACATGAATGTAACGTCTCTCTTTTTCACCGCCAGATGGCCTCGTTCACCGCCGCGGATGAACTCCTCGGTACCAGTATTTGTCACCTGCAGACGCCAAGATACACCTGTAGTTCTCTCTCTAGTGTCTAAAGCCACTGCTGCCACTCCTGTGTGTAAGTGTGTGTGAGAGTGTGTGTGTGTGAGTTTGTGAACGTGCATTTACTGCAATTTGTGCTCTTTGGACACTGCGCCCGAAATGCCTTGAGCATTCTGACTGTAGGAGGGGAGAACATTAAAATAATAATTAAAAATAAATAAAAAACTGTACAAATGTATAAAATGAGAAATGTACCCTTTTTTAAAAAAAGACCAGTCCACTTATATCCCACCTGTTTGGTCTGTGTGTATTGTAAAAGAAGCCATGTTTATAATTCTAATTGGTTTGTGACCAATACGCCTGTTTATATCAGATCTGTATATCAGTGGTACGCATAATTTTTTAATATATATTTTTTATTTTTCTTTTTTTTAAATGGGAGATTTTATGCATGGTTGGGTCCTGAGAGACGCAGCGGTGCCGTCGAATGGTTGCTGTTTTTTGGCAAAATTCTCTGGAGTATTGCGACAGCTCTGTGTTCATAATTACGACAATTATGACAATGAAAAACAATAAAAGATATTTATTTCACTTTGTTTTAGTTGGCGTGTGTTTTTGTGTCATGCAATGAGTAAACAGAATATATAATCTAAAGTGGAACAAACATCCAGTGTGCACTGATCCCTGTGCTCCATGTGGCCACTAGATGTCGCTGTAGCATCACAGGTTAGCTGCAGTACTGCCAGCCGCCTGCAGGGGGCGCTGCACCACACACTAACTCTAACAAGTAAAACTCTGGCACAAACACCCTCCGTCACACACAACCCTCCAGCATGGGCTCCTCGGCGGCTGCAGCCAGTTCTCTGCGGCTCTCTGCGCTCCTCTCCGGGTCACTGTCGGCGGCCGGTCACACGGCCTGTGTGTCCCGGAGGAAGCTGAACGTCCAGGCGGCCACCAGCACCTCTGAGGCGGGGAAGCTGAAGAGCATCGATGAGCTGCCTGGACCCAGTTTATCCACCACTCTGTACTGGTTGTTCATCAAAGGATACGCAGACAAGAGTCACCTCCTGCAGGTAGGCACCACATGTCCACACCTGGTCCGTGTCTGACAGGAGAAACCCAACATCTAGTTAGTTAGTTAGTTTCGTGTCTTCAGAATCAGAATCAGAATCAGAAATACTTTATTGATCCCCGAGGGAAAATTACTTAATTATTTATTATTTACCATGGCTTTTGGTTGTTGTTGTTTTGTCTGTTTGTAGTTGTTTCGGGGGGGTTTGTGTCTTTTTAGGGTATCCGAGTTATTTTTATTTTTTGTTCATTTTCTGTCTTTGAGATATCTTTTAGTCTTTGTAGTCATTTCATTTTTTTTACTCTACTTTTTGGTCATTTTATGTTTTTTTTTTGGGGGGGGGCGTTTTTTCTTTTGTCTATTGGTATTTATTTTGTCGAGGGTTTTTACTTTTTTCCCGGTAATTTGGTCTTATTTGGTCATTTTTTGTCTCTGAGATTGTTTTAGTTTATTTCTTTTTGCCTTTTGTTGGTCATTTTGTGTCTTTTTAGTCGTGTTGTGTCCCTCTCATCACTGAGTGCTACATTTTTTTTTATTATAATAACAATAATAATAATAATAATAATACATTTTATTTGTTAGGGCGCCTTTCAAGCCACTCAAGGTCGCCTTACAGCAAAGATAAAGCATACATCATATAAATACATTAAAACAGAGCGGAAGACAGTAAGACTGTGTAAGAACAATGGAATGGAATGGGCAAGTCTGAACAGATGTGTTCTGAGTTTGGATTTGAACAGACTGACAGATGTGGTGTTGTGGAGGTCAAGGGGGAGTGAATTCCACAGCGGCTGAATGCTCTCTCCCATGGTTGCCAGGCGAGCAGGGGGAACAGAGAGGTGGGTGGAGGAAGAGGATCTGAGTGCGCAAGCGGGTGTGGCAATGTGGAGGAGATCAGACAGGTATGGAGGGGCAAGGGTGTGAATGGCCTTGAAGGTGAGCAGTAAAATCTTGTATTGGATACGGTGTGTGATAGGGAGCCAGTGGAGCTGCTGGAGGACCGGTGTGATGTGGTGAGTGGATGGGGTCCTTGTGATGATACGAGCTGCTGAATTCTGTACCAGTTGTAGTTTATGGAGACCAAACAGGAGGGAGTTGCAGTAGTCAAGCTGGGAGGTGACGAGACTGTGGACCAGGATGGCAGCTGTGTGAGGTGTGAGAGAGGGGCGGAGGCGGTTGATGTTGCGGAGATGGAAGTAGGCTGACCGGGTTATGTGGTTGATATGAGAAGTGTAAGATAGTGTGCTGTCGAGGATGACACCCAGACTCTTGACCTGTGGGGAAGGAGAAATGTTAGAGTTGTCAATAGATAATGTGAAACTGGGGGATTTGGATAGGGTGGTTTTAGTGCCAATGAGTAGAATTTCTCTTTTGTCGCTGTTTAATTAGAGGAAGTTGGATGAAAACCAGGATTTTATTTCAAGGAGACAGTCAGTGAGGGAGGAAGGTGGGAGGGTGGAGTCGGGTTTGGTGGAAATATGGAGCTGGGTGTCATCCGCGTCATAGTGGAAGTGGATATGATGTTTCCGGAAGATGTAGCCAATGGGGAGTAAGTAAATGGTGACTGGGAGTGGAACCAGTTACAACTTGAACCAGTTGAGGGGGTGGGGGGGTGATGCCAATCGAGAGGAGTCTATCTAGGAGGGTAGATAATTTTGTCTCTTTGTAGTTTTTTTTTGTTTTTTTGTTTTTTTTAGATAATTTTGTGTCCCTGATTTTTTTTTTCCTTCGAGACATTTTTAGATTATTTTTTGTCTCTTTTTTTTGGTCATTTTTTGTCTCTTAGTATTTATTTTGTATAGTTTTTTGTGTTTGTTTTGTTTTGAGATAATTTTGTGTCTTTGTCATCTCTGAGATCTCTTTTTTAGGTAATTTAGTGTCTTATTTTGTCATTTTGTGTCTTTGAGACATTTTTTTTTTGTGTCTTTGTCGTCGTTTTGTGTCTCTGTGAGATTTTTTTTAATTTTTTTTTTTGGGGGGGTGTTTTTGGTAATTTGTGTCTTTGTAGTCATTTTTTGTTGTATAATTTTTATGTCTTTTAGTTGTTTTGTGTGTCTGAGTTTTTATTTTCTTTTTTGCCTTTTTTAATCATTTTGTGTGTCTGAGATTTTTCTTTTTCTTTGAGACATTTTTTAGGTTACTACTTAGGTTACTCTTAGTTTTTATTTTGTGTAGTTTTTTGTGTTTGTTTTGTTTTGTTTTTTGATAATTTTGTGTCTTTGTCATCTTTTTTGTTATATAATTTTGTGTCTTTAAGTTGTTTTGTGTCTCTGAGAGTTTTTCTTTTTTGCCGTTTTTAGTCATTTTGTGTGTCTGAGACTTTTTTTTAGGGTTTTTTTGCCTTTTTTGGTCGTTTTGTCTCTTTGTAGTCTTTTTTGTTTTGTTTTTTTTTTTTTTTTTTTTAGATTATTTTGTGTCTTTTTTGGTCATTTTTTGTCTCTTAGTTTTTATTTTATGTAGTTTTTTGTGTTTGTTTTGTTTTTAGATAATTTTGTGTCTTTGTAGTCTCAGTTCTTTTTTTTAGGTAGATTTGTGTTGTTGTTGTCATTTTGTGTGTCTTTGTAGTCATTTAATCTCTGAGATCTCCTTTTTAGGTAAATGTGCGTCCCTTTGGTCATCTGTGTCCCTTTGTTGTAGGTTTCATTGTCTTTGAGACTGTTTTTAGATAATCATGTGTCTTCATAGTCACTTTGTGTCTCTGACATCTTTTCTTTGTTTTTTACCCCCTGTGTCTTTATCTTAGCAGTAGTAGCCTCCTACAGGGCCGTAATCACCTTAACATTTGGAGGTGGGGGACCATGAGCACATTATGAGACAATGAGCACAAACATGCAAAGGACCCGCCATCTCTATATTTTTTTTTTTTGTCTGTTTGTGGTCATTTCGTGTCTCTTCCTGGTCAGTACGTGTTAATAATGAGCAACTTTTTGCCTGTGTCCAGTCAGTCCGTTCAGTAATGCGTCATTTGGGGGACTATTTTTAATCATCACCTTTTGCAAGAGGGGTCTGAGGGGGACTCCCACAGGTGAAATGTTTGGAAACGTCACAGCTAAACTGACCATTTTAAAGCAGCTTGAAACAAAAGTCTTTTATCAGGGGTTCTTAGAGTTTGGATGACATTTGTGTTGACCCCCAATACATATCACAATTTGTCTTAAAATGCACCACGTGTAAATGTACTTTAAACTCAACTTTATGCTTTTAATTTTACACGCTGACATCATTTTCCAGGATTTACAGAAGAACATTTACGGGCCCATCTGGCGCTCCAGGTTCGGCCCGTACGACATCGTCAATGTGGCGACTCCGGAGCTGATAGCTCAGGTGATCCAACAGGAGGGCATGTACCCGATCCGAGCCGAGCTGCCTCACTGGAAGGAGTACCGGGACCTGAGAGGACAGGCCTATGGTCTGCATGTGGAGTGAGTGGAGACAAAAAATTTAAAGAGGAGATGTCCACAATGACGGCTAAAAGTGTGGTCCTTAATCTTTAGACATCCTTTAATTTTTACATAAAAGTTTGGATTAAATCTCCTGTAACAAGTTTCTATCATGCTAATGTGCTCGTGAGCAGGGCAATGGATAAATCACCCTTAAAAAGTCCCTTAAGAAACCCTTTAAACTAAGGAAGTCATTGTGAAGGAGTTCCTCAGGGCTCCATCCCCAAGCCCCTTGAGTTTGTAATCTTAGGAAGCTCTTTTACTTTCTAGCACGGGACCGCAGGGCTACCGAATCCGCAGCGCCCTGAACCCCAAGATGCTGAAGCTGCGGGAGGTGTCGGCCTACGCCCCCATCATCCACCAGGTAGTCAGCGATCTGCTGTGTCGCATCGAGCTCCTCCGAAGTCGCAGCCGGGACCAGGCCACAGTTTCGGATATCGCTGCTGAGCTCTACAAGTTCGGCTTTGAAGGTGGGGATTATTCCAGAAGTACCAGAGGTGGAGGTTAAGGGGGCGGTGTCTGATTCTTCTGACCTCCTGCAGGTATCTCCTCCATCTTGTTTGAGACCAGGTTAGGCTGCCTGCAGGAGGAGATTCCCCAAGACACGCTGCGCTTCATCCACGCCATCAACGACATGCTGACGATGTCCGAGACTGTGGTCCTGTTTCCTCGCTGGAGCCGCGGCATCCTCCCCTTCTGGAAACGCTTTGTCCAGGCCTGGGACGACATCTCTGACGTAGGTACGCGTCAAAAGAAACAACAAAAAAGAAAATTCAGGGTTCCAATGTTGGATTCACCTATGAGTCGGTAAACTGTTCTGTTTTTTATGTTTTCAGCTCAGACCCTCATCAACAGGAGGATTGCAGAAATTGAGGCGCAAGTTAACAGTGGTGAGGTGGTGGAGGGCATGTACCTGACCCACCTGCTGTCCTCTGACAGGCTGAGCAAAGCCGAGGTCTACGTCACCATCATGGAGCTGCTGCTGGGAGGCGTTGACACGGTGAGAACCTGGTACCAGTTCATACTGGTTTCTTCCCAGGCAGCTGTACTTGATCTAGTTTTCTTGCACTCCACCCCATTTTGT